ACCTCTCCTATCACAACCTAAAATGTCCATAAACTCAGAGGGAGATGAGCCAGCAGGCAGTGGGGAACGGGGTGATGGGGCAGGGAGGGTGAGGTGGCCTGTACCCACATCTCCTGCACTCACCTCAGCCATGCCCCTCTCCTAGGGATGCTATGTGTGGCAAGATCCAGTGCCAGAGCTCAGCTAAGAAGCCACAGGGGACCAATACTGTCTCCATCGACACCACCATCCGCTTCAACGGGCGGGAGGTGAAGTGCCGAGGCACCTACATGTACACTGCAAAGGACGACGAGGAAGACCTCTCCGACCCTGGGCTGGTGATGACGGGGACAAAATGTGGAGATGGAATGGTGAGTACTTCTTCCTAGGGCTGGGGTCTCCTACAGGAGCTCTTATCCCAGCTCCAATGTGGACATTAGCTCTTCTCTGGGTTACAGCCAGGCTGTAGGATGTAGTTTCCTCCGTGCTTGCAGACATTGGGCTGGTGACATCTCAACTGGGGCATTTCTAGACATCATCAGATGCTTGTGTGTAGGCCACCAAATTTTTCTCTCTGGCCTCCATACTTCTTTACTGATTTAATGCATAGTGGAGCAGCCCCAACAAGAATAGCATGCCTCAGGACTTAATGGATGAGGCTTCCTCCTGTGAATGAATTGTTTCCCAGGGGAAAGCTGTGTTAGGAATCAAGATGACAGATCCAAATAGATGCTGCTAACTGAGCGTTAGAGTTGTTTGTTTTTTTGGTTTTTTTTTGTTTTTTTTTTTTCAACTGGGACTGCAAATCTCCAAGTACTTTACAGAGGGTCAGTTCAGCTGGGAAAGGGCAGAAGCCTGGTGGACAATACAGTAGCAGGGATGCATGCCAGGCAGAGCTGGCTGGGGAGATAGGGCCTTTCCTATTTGGCATTTTAATTGTGACATTTTCATCCCACTTTGGGATGGAAGGCCAAAATGTTGACATTTTCATGAGCAAGGATGGCTGGTTTTGAAATCCAGTGTTAGTTTTTTTGGCTGATGCCTGCCTTTTAGGGCCAGATGGGAAATGCCTTCTCCAGGAGCTGCCAGGTGGGCTGTTAGGGGAGGGGAGTGGGAGTGGTGGTGGCTGGTCTCTCCTGAGCCATCCTGGATGGGGGAATGGCAGAGGTTTCCTGGGCTGTGCTGAAAAATGGAGTGAAATGCATTGACCTGGAACGATACGATTTAACCAACCTGCATTTTCCAGTGGACAGCATCCTTCCAGAGGACTCCCATCTGTGAAGCCAGAAGATCGCTGTTCCTTTCTCTCTCAGGTCCTTCCCTAACCTTGGCTTCTCGGCTCTCTCTCAGGTTTGCAAAGATCGCCGATGCCAGAATGCCTCCCTTTTTGAGCTGGAAAAGTGCGTTTCCCGGTGCAACGGCCATGGGGTGAGTTATTGCCTGAGATCTACAGCAGGCTCCTGAGAGTCTTAAGCAAAACCAAGTGTCTCCCACAGGGATGAGCCTTGCAACACAGTGGGCAGCTGCTTTTCATAACTCTCACATGCATCAGCTATGGGTGAGACTGAGCTGAGATCTTTGCTTACCCGTGTCCAAGTTAGAGGAGGAAGATAATTCATGATGTAAGGACCATCTGCGAAATTTGGATCAGGGTCTCATTTGAACTGGAGAGCGTTAAGAGCTCAGAGCAGGTGCCTGTTCCCTCTGAGAGTAAAGCAAGAGTTAGAAACACAACTGGGACTGCAAAAAGGCAGGGAAGTGGTTCAGTGAATAGAAAGACCCACTACTGTCCAAAGCTTAAAGGCTACAAAGGTTTGACCTCTGCAGAATGCAGGGCTTTGTCAGATAAGGCAACAACAGGGCTAGGGTTTAATGGGAAAATCCCAAGGGAAAGATGTTTAACAGACTTCTGGTCTAATGCAAAGTATTAAGGACATCAGACTTGTCTAGTCAAGCGGTGTGAACACTGGGGGTATAAGATACCTGTCTTCAAGGTTTCTGCAAAGACCAGGGAAATAAAAGTATCAGCAAGAAAATATCTCCGTACATTGCAATTACAGATTTGAGGGCAAGAGACACGCTCCAAGTGATGTTCAAAGGGTGAATATTGGCAGGGGTTAAGTTCCTTCAGCCCATACTCCTGCCATCAGGCGTCTGCTGTCATCCTCACTGTACAGACCATCGTTTCCATACGTCCCTTGTATCTCTGACCCTCTGTCTCTCTCTGCAGGTCTGCAACAGCAACAAGAACTGCCACTGTGATGCCGGCTGGGCTCCCCCGTACTGCGAGAAGCCGGGCTTGGGCGGCAGCGTGGACAGTGGTCCTGTGCAGCGTGACAGTGAGTCCCGACTTCTCATCTGGTGTCTTGTGATGCTGGTGGGGCTGGAATGATGCCACGAGAAGGGGTGATGGGTTGATAAAGCTGCTGACAGTTCTGCTCCCAAATATGCTGTCTCAGGTCTGTTCAGGCAGACTGTTCCCAGCTCTGGCTGCTTGGTGGCCACCCATTTTAATCAGATACCAACAGATGGTACTGCTCCCTTTTTGGAGATGTGATCAGCAATGATGTCTCCAGCCTGGGTGGCCGGGAATAGGCAGACTGGACAGATGTTTGCATTGAGTGAAGCCAGAGGCTGCTGGCTCTCCCAGCCCTGCACTCATCTTTGTGCTTTCTCTGCCAGATCACGAAGCCATCTTAATAACCCTGCTCATCTTCCTGCTCTTCCTTCCGGCTCTGGTGATGAGCATCTACTTTTGGTACCGGCGGGAGAACTCACTCTTGAATAAATGGATTAAGGAGATGAGGAGGAGGAGTCAGGAGACGTATAGGTGGGTCATGCGTCCTAGTTCTCTTCTCTCTTGAGCACCTAGTGAGACCCTGAGACGTTTTCTTGCCACTGGTAGCATCCAGCCTGGTAGGAATGGTTGTGGGGGAGCTGGAGGTGTACAGGGCCTGTTTCAAACTGATATGAGACCTGGTTGAGTTATGAAGAGCTCTCTCCTGGGACAGTCTGAGGCTCTCAGCTCTCCCCTGAGCAGAGGACAGGAATAGTCTGTTGGACAGGACAATCCCAGAGAGTGATGACGAAGGTGGCCTGGTAACAAGGAGCTTTCTTGCCATCTGCTCCTAGCAGGTTGCAAGAGCTGGAAGGGCTTTAAATTAGCTCTGAATTTAGATATTCTCATTATTTCCCCTCCCAGTACAGGTACAGACACTCACATGTTGCAGAGCCCCTGCAATAATTTGAGAAAAAAACCCAGAACTAAACAACCTACTTCATTACCCTCATTATCTCAAGACACTTGTCATCCGTGCTCGCCCAGCACTACAAGACTGTCTGTTAACAATCTGTTAATTGAGACAGGATCCCGCTGACATGCAGCATTTCAGGAGGCAGCTGTTGCAAAAATGGTCGCTTTATTTTGCCATCTGTGATTTATGTCTGTGATCCTGGGCAGGAACAAAACCATCAGTCGGAAGTCAACTGGTGGTCATCCCAAAGCTGCTTTTACCTTGCGGAATGTTTCCACCACCAGCCACGCTAATAAAGTAAGTAATAACTCACCTTTCGGGTTTGCTTTCCCTCCCTGGGACTTGATACTTGTGGGTGGCCACATCTCCCTCTAGCAACCGGGCAAGCAACTGGTACTCTGTGGTGGTTTTGCATTGTGTCTACACTGTGAGCCCTTAGTCATGAGTATACATCTCTCCTAAAAGTGAGCCTATTGAGCTCTGCCTGCTCAAAAAGACCCCAGTGATTGCCAGGAGCCTTGGCTGGGAAATTGCCCATCACTATGGCAAAGCTTAGCAGGGACTCTGCAAATCCCACTGATAGCTTTGTGCTGGGTCTCTGTGGAGGCAGATGCTTCTGCTGGTGGTTGTGTCTGCTCTGGTGACCTTGGGATGAGTAAGCCCAGGGCTGAATTTAGGTAGAAAGCGATGGTCTTCTTGAGCATAGCCAGAGTGGCTGAGATCAAGGCAGAGGGGTGGTGTCTCCCATCTCTGTAATTCAGTCTGGTGGAAATCTGGTATGGGTTGACCAGAGCTGGCCCTGGTCCAGATCTCCTGAGCCCAGCACCTTTCTCATCCCTATGTGCTATCACTGGATTAGCAAGGAGAAAATGCGTTCAGCTTTTGAGCGGTCCCAGAAAGTGGAATAAATACCCAGTGCTCCTTCTGCAACTCCCTAGCACCCAGCCCTTGAGGGCACATCTGCTTTTTAGCACCCAGAAAAACTCACCTAAGGATTTTCTCTGTACTTCTGCTTTTCTCGTCCCTGCAGGCAACGCGGGCTGCATTCCCCCACAAACCCAGTGCTCACCACCCTGGATCCCAGCCCGTCAACATTGTTCACCCTCTTCGCCCGGCTCCTCAGTCCGTCCCTCCACGCCCGAAAGACCCCAAGCCTGCCAGGCCACCTCCACCAGTCAGCAAATCACCCATGGTTCCCACCAAAACAATTGCCTCCCAGGCTAAGCTGCCACCTCCAAAGAAACCTCTTCCCTGCAGCCCCGTGAGGACTCCACTGGTGAGCTTTGCTGTCTGACTGTACTTCCCTGCCAGACTCGTAGAAATTCCCAGGTTTTGGCTGCCTGTGGCTCTTTTGGGTTGGGCACTACTGAGAAGCTGTCATGCCATTCTAAGAGATGCATCTGCTGCAATGGTGAAGAAAGCTTGGTAGATAATGAGAATATTTTAAGGTAGTTTGGGTGGTGGTGTTATATGCTTTGAAGCATCTCAGCTTTGCAGCAGGGGAGAGAGGTTTGTAGGTTGTCACTGGATGCTCCTCTGAGGGTGTTGTCTCTCTCCATACACTTTGTGATCTCAGGTCATCGCAAAGCACCAGCCCCCGCGTCGGCCGCTGCCTGGAAGTCCTCTTCTGGCCAAAGAACTGCCTCCTGCACATGGGCAGACCCTGCTGGTCATGGTCCCTCCTACCAACTTCAAGGCGTCAGGTACAAGCGCCATGAGCCCCTCCATGAGGCCATTAAAGTAAGTTGAGAGAGTTGAGATACGTCTCACCACTGCTGGGGTCCTGTGGGTCTTGTCTGGGTGGGAAATTCCAAATGTCACTGTGGTGTGCTCTGGTCTGCCCCTCATGGTGTCTTCACTGTGACCTGGGTTTCTCCTGCTCCTCCCCAATACGGCTAATGTGTGCAGGCCAGGATGCTGAGGAGCAGGAGAAATGCTCTGTGCTCTGGGGTGTGTGGGACTGTGCACACTGCTGGAGCTACAGAGGTGTTCAAAGCCCACCAACTTTGGGGTAACTGACCTGTAGGGTGTTGAGGATCTTTGGTACAGGGGCAGCAGGGGATCTTGGATCTAGGGGCAGCAGCAACAGGTACGAAGGAAATCAGAAGACGTCCCAAATTCTTCTCCCTGGGGAGCAACCACAACTGAAGTGTTTGTTCAGATGGGGACCCTACGTGCATAAACAACCCTGTGCCCATGTTCCCTCTTGCATGGTGCAGGAGAAAAGCCTGCCCACCCAAGCAAGGTACCTGTGGGTGCCTGGGGTCTGCAGCCATCCTTTCACCTGGTAGGAGCCCACCGTGTTTGGACGAGATTGGCCAGCAGTGACCAAGGTTGGGACTTTGGGTCTTGTGGGGTCCTGATAGGTTAAGGGAGATGCCATGTTTTGTGGGTTCATACGGGCCCCTGTCCCAGACTCTGGTGTGCACGGTTGGTGGGCCTCTGGGAGATAGTGGAGTGAAGGGATGTATGTTGATGCTCTGTTTCGTCTTTCCTCCCTACAGACCGATGCCACCTCAAAGGTGAGTCACAAACACCAGTCAGGACTGGGGGGGGATGGTCTTTGCTGCTTGTGAGGCACGGCCTTTGGTTAAGCACTGGGCTGGGACCCAAGAGACGGGGGCTTAAATTTCTCCCTTCCCAGTGGCTTTTAGATGAGCACGACATAAGCCCTCTGGGTACCCAGACAATAGCAGGGCTTGGACACCTGTGTCCAAGGGAATGGAGGACACAGGCTTTCCAGTTTGGAGCTGGGAGATTCAGTTCAAGTCCTTTACAATATCACTACTACTTTCAGCTCTTGCTATATTGCTAAGTCCTCTGTAAATAGTTCAGTGGAGCCTCAGGGGATCGTGCCTGCATCTGCTCCTGCTGGCCAGGTTTGTGGGCCATATCCAGCCATGGAGAGAAGGCATCATGCTAGACTGAAGTTGGCCCTCATCCCCAGACGGTCTGCTTTGCTAATTACTGTTTTGACTCTCTTGGACCTATTTAGGTTCCTATGTCTTTGTAGTTGCCACCACAAGGAGGCTGAATATGCCCCCAAATTTCTCAGTGTATTTCAAACCCAATAGCTCATCTCTTCTAGTAGATAAAACAGGTCTGTTCTGTGGTCCTGAAAGAGAAACATTTGGCACAGCCCAGCAGGCAAACTCTTCTCCCTCCCCTGATGGTGTAGTTTTGTCCTTGCTGCCTACTGAGACCAGTCCCTGGCCATCCACTCTTGAAATGGAGCCCATATAAAAAAGTGTTGTCTGGCAGGGCCAGACTTATGCCAGGGAGCAGGACATGCCCGTATCTTGATCTGAAATTGTTACTTGACACCACCAACATGGTAAGAGAGGGCCAGGGAACTGTTTTCTTTCCTGGGTGGATGAAGTGAGATATTTCATGAATTCCCAGGATGGACTGTAGGGTCCATATCGGGTTGGTTGATTTGGTGACGTCTCTTGGTAGTGCACAAACCACCTTGGCTGTTTTTGGGAAGTGGAGAGCAGAAAACCTCTCCAGGGATGTGGTTCCCGTAGTTGGTGGGCTCACAGTTCTCACCACTGGTTACTGCCCAGTGCCACCACATGCTTTGGTGGACTGTGTCCTATAGGGTTTTGAGGGTAGGCCAAAGGAAAAGACCTCAAAGCGATACAATTTGGGATTGTATCTTTGAGAGAAGACATGGGTGACCAGGACAGTTCCAGGT